TTTTCAAAGTTTAATTGATAAACATATAGCAATGAGACAATTTCAAATCAAATCGAAAGTACAGTTTCAACAAATAAACTTTTTCTTTTTTTTTTTTTTTGCGGAACCGGGGATTGAACTCAGGCCCTTGCGCTTGCCAGGGAAGCGCTTATTCCACTGAGCCATCTCCCTGGCCCCAACATTTTTAAAAAATAGAAAAATTTTAATTTTCAACAGAATCCCATAAACTCAAGTAGTTTTAAGTGAACAAACATACATTTTAAGGGGCCAGGGAATGGCTCAGTGGAATAAGCACTTGCCTGGCAAGCACAGAGGCCTGAGTTCAATTCCCAGTTTAAAAAAAAAACAAAAACATCTTAATAAACTAACATATATTTTCATAAGCTAACAGAAATTCAGCAGGTCCAATGGCTCAAATAGGTCACTTGTCTATCACAGTAATGGCAGAAGATCTGTGTCCCACTGTCCTACAAAGGCATATCCTCTAATAAGTACCCACTCACTCAGTATTGGGCAGTAAGGGCCTAGTCTCTCCCTGGTCAGCACCAATTAAGGACAACTGAATACAATGACAGAGATGAAACTCAGATGACAATAAGACAATAAGAGATTGAGCTATGAAATGATGTAGTAATCAATAAGGAAGACTAATTTCTTGCACTATTTTCAAAAGGAAAGAAACATTATATTTAAGAGAACACATTAAAGGTACTCTTGTTCAAAATTTGGGAGAATAGATAAACTCTTAAAATCCTTTCTAGAATTAAGAAGATATATCTTGGGCCAGGATGATAGCTCAGTGGTCTAAGCACCGTCCCGGCGTAAGGACCCGGGTTTGATGCCCGGTACCATATGCAATGCCAGTACCATGTGCTGTGCCATCCCTGCGCCGTGCCAGTCACCACAACTGGGCAGAGTGGCTACACCTGTAATCCCTGCACTGGAGAGGCTGAGACAGGGGGATCATTACGAGTCCGAACCGCACAGTGAGACCCTATGCCAAATAAATAAATACAGAAAAAAGATTACAGAAAAAAAAAGAACATTTATCTTATAAGTTGGGCATAGTGGTGTACACCTGTAACTCCAGCATTGGGAGGCTGAGGCTGGAGGACAGCCATGAGTTTAAGGCCAGCCTAGGCCACAAAGTGAATTCAAAGCCAGCCTGAACCACATAGTGAAAAACTGTCTCTTTTTGTCTCAAAAAGACAAAAACGGGGTCAGGAAGATGGCTCAGTAGAATAAATGCTTCCCCGGCAAGTGCAAGGGCCTGAGTTCAATCCCCGGTTCTGCCAAGAAAAAAAAAAAAAAAAAAAAAAGAAAGAAAGAGAAGACATAGCCCCTAAATACAATCATTTTGGCCAACATGTTTCATATGAATATGTTCAATTGGTAGGATGCCAAAAGTTCTGAAATCTGCATTTGAATGCTAACATTCTTGGAGTGAGTTCTTTCTACACATATATAATCAAAGCAAATTACAAATGTATTTGCTGGATAATGGAATTGTAAAGGCAGAATGAAACTGTAAAGGCAGAAGGAACTTTTAAGACCCCTAAACACTAATTAATGGTAGAACTCTTGAGTCAGAACAAAATTCTCCCCACTAACACAGAATTCTTCTCCAGCTAACAACTTATTGTGTCACACTGATCTTTTATCTGTGAATGAAATGTATGGCATGGTAGAAATAGCACTGTTATTGAAGTCAGAAAATAGGAATTTCATTCCCAGACCCTGAGAGAAGTAATTGTATCACCTCTCTAGCCTGTGCTACTTTTTAAAAATCTAATCCATAACAGTAATAAAAGCAACTGAAAAATGACAGTGCTGCATTAAGGATGAAATGGCATAATTATGTAGAAACACTCTGAAAGCTTCAGAGAACTGTATGCCTTTAAGGCATAATGTTACTGCTGCCACTGTCATCAACGAGAACTAAGAACACTATTCCTAACTAGTTCATGCCACTTGTGATTTCCACAAATTCCAAGTTTTATCTCAAGATCCAAAGCTGTGCTTGCATGTATCTTTAAATATTTCTTTTTTGTAACGTATACATTAACACTGATATTCAGATTTAGGCATAATCTGAGAATGTTTTACTGCTTCTTTTTCTATACTAATAAATTTTCTTTTTAAAAAAAAAATATTTATTTATGTGGGGGGGAGGGCCAGCTCAGCCCACCAGGGGGTGGGGCTGGCTGGCATGTGGTGCTGGGGGATTGAACCGTGGTCCCTGTGCTTTGCTAAGCTTGTTCTAAGTAGGTGCTTTAGATCACTGAGCCATCTCACCAGCCCCTAAATTTTCTATTGAGTGGTATGATCAAGAAATGGAACAGGGTCAGCCAAATAGCTCAGTGGATTAAAGCGCCTGCAAGCAGGTGCAGGGGCCAGAGGTTCGATCCTGGGGCCTGCCATGCCGGCCCCACCCCCAGGGCGCGTTGAGATGGCAATTGAGACTGGGTGTGATTGCGTGTGCCTGTAATCCCAGCTCTTGGGAGGCTGTAAACAGACGGATCACTACGAGTCTGATCTAGTAGTGAGACCCTGAATATGCTATGGACCCTTCCCTAAACCCACACCCCCCAAAAAAGAAAGAAATGGAACATTTCTGTTTAATTGATGGATCTGGATAAGAGTTATGACTCTGAAAGATTTTTATACATTTGCAATATATAATGGAATATATTCATTGTGGGTTGAAAGTTGTCTTAAAATGAGTAATTCTCAAAGCAGTGAAATGTAATAGTATAGCCCTGACTGGAAAACTTTAATTTACAAGGTACCACCAGCTCTGTCTTGTCCGTAAGTCCTACTGAAACTAATGCCCACAAGCATTACTTCTCTGCTTTATTTTATTTTATTTTTCTTGGCAGAACCGGGGATTGAACTCAGGCTCTTGGGCTTGCCAGGGAAGTGCTTATTCTACTGAGCCATCTCCCATGCCCTACTTCTCTGCTTTAAAACAATACACATGCATTAAAAATTAGAGTTGATTTCATACCTCAATCTGTTGTAGGATATCTATAACCACATCAGGGATGGAAGGATTGGTATCCAGCTTGGCAGAACAAAGTGAAAGCTGACGAATAAGGCTGCCCAGTTCCCTACACCGAGCAGGAATTGGGTGCTCCCCTCGGTCAGTAAATTGAGTGACAAACACCTGTAAGGCCCGAATGGCTCCTCGATGGGCAGCCGCCAGCCTAGACATTGCCCATGACTAGAAATAAACAAGACATGAGAAGTTAAGTCAATATTCACAACTTTCTAACATGAACCCAACCTTCAATATTTGTAGTGTACCTTGTATGTAAAATGTTTCCTGTTGTGCAAACTTTTTCATAGCTTAGGAGATTGTAAAGCTTCACCTTTAAAGTTTTGAAATAGTAAATAAAATCATTTCCATCATTTTGTTAGAGAGTAGGTCTTGCTACTGATGGGTCTGTGATCATATAAAAGCTGGCTGGGTCATCGTGGGGGTGAGTCAGCATAGTGTAGGGATCCAAGACCATGACGAACTGGCCCTAGGCGAACTTCCTTCTTCTTCCCCCTGGTTAACCTCAACTTCTTTTGTTTTTCACGCACCAAGCCTTTCCCAGTCAGCGCCTGATAGTACACCCACACCACACCACACTGCCCACATAAACTCCATTCCCAACCCAGCCCGATAAATTCTTTGTCTCCCTGCCTCCTCCTCTGTTCCTGTGTCTCTTCAGTAACCCTCCCATGCCACACAATAATGGATTTCTTTGCCTCTCTCCTGCTTCTCATTCACACAATGAGGAACCTTACAAGTACATAGTTCAGACTGGCCTTGAACTCACTGTGTACCTTCCACTGGCCTTGAATCAGTGATCCTCCTGCCTCAACATCCCAAGGGCTGGGGTTACAGGTGTGCACTGCCATACCTAGCAGTCTTTTCCTTTCTATTTTCTTTTTACCAGCAGCAATAGGAATCTATATTCAAAATTCATTCCTTAGAAAGTAACTCCATTTTTAGAGTATTTAAAGTGCTTACTAAAAGGTTGCTATCAGCAGTAAAATAACATGAAGGCAGAGGATCCATATGCAGTACTAATGAAACAGGGAAACATACTTTATAAATAGGTATTAATCATAATTTAATTTCATCATACCTTCTTGGTGTGTTTAGTTTTATGTGGACTCAATTTATCCAAATCTTCCTGGATTTCTTTTACCTGTTTTATAAAGAAGAAAAATAAACATTTCACACCTTCCCTTTTTTTGTGGAATACTGCACAGCTGTCTTGTCCAAATATAACCATTATTAATTCAAGTCACATGACAATGAGAAAAGGCTCCAGTTCAAGATGGCAAATATAGTAGTGTTCACCTTTGATCTTTTAATCCCCAAAGTAAGAACTTAACATGAAGGAGCAATGGTGGAAGTGGCGCTGGAAAGACAGTAGGCCAGATCATTATGTTCTGCATGCCATGCTCAAGAATTTAGCTTTCATCCTCTAAGTTACAGAAAGCAACTGGTCTAACATGGTAAGTTTCATATGCTGGAATAATCTCTACGGCAGAAGCATAGAATAAGGACCAAAATAGAACCCAAACAAGAATACAGAACTAAATCTAACTCAGGCACTTTATTTCAAATGAGAAAATAGCTTTTGGTTCAAGTAATGAAATAGCATGTGACTTCAGTGACCAGAAAGGTATCAAAGCTTTTTTTTTGTCGTACTAGAGATTGAACTCAGGACCTTGAGCTTGCAAGGCAGGTGCTTATGCTGCTGAGTTATAATTTCCAGCTCCTTAAAAGCTTTTTAAGAAGTCATTAAAGTTAGAATATACATTCCCTTTAAAAATTTATCACAATAAACAATGTAAATGCTTATTTATCAACCATTATGTATGTCTTGAAAGGCATTTAACACAGTCCTCACTTTTTATAAATCATACTTTTTAATTTTTGTTTTTATTTTTTAGTACTGGGGAATTGACTCCAGGATTTTCAGATGTGCTACTTTCCTTGTGCTCTCTTTTCTCTGATTGATTGACTGATTCATTTGAGATGGAGTTTTGCTAAGATGCTAATTTGCCCTGAACTTTCCATCTTCCTGCATCAGCTTCCCAGAGTGGTGGGATGAAAGGCATGTGCCACTGTGCCCAGGCAAGTCTTCATTCTTTACCATTTAAAAGAGTAGTCAAATTATGCTGTCTATTAAGTTTCTAGTAATGAACTCACGAACAGAAGGGAAACAAGGTCCTTTCCACAAAGACCAGGGTTTGTACCTGGGAACAAAGTGTTTCAAGGTAACTGATCAACCAGACTTCATACACACAAGTA